GATCCAGAGACCATTAAAACCAACAGGAGCCTTTGAATTAACAGTAATGATTCTTGGATCTGGCCCTGGTTTAAGTTAAAGTGTTGTGGTGCTTTGGGGATTGAAACAAGATTGAATGTGATTGGCTTTTGTTATCTTCAAAAAATCTTTGTGGCTGGGAGTGTCCACTTTCAAACACTCAGTCTGCCAAAGCAGTGCACATTTTAACAAAAGGCCTTAATGAAATTCCTTAATAAAGAAACATGATGGCAAGGTGAGCTCCCACATAGCCTGTGTAGCATTAACTCCAGGTGTTTTCATTTGAGCAGAGGGAAGGAGAGAGAAAAAAACAGGACTATTGACATATGGAGAATATATGCCCTCACACATTAGATTGGGCAGCTTTGCTGGGGCTGGGTATCCCCATTTTATTGATAGATGTATTTCATGCATAGGAGAGACGTAACAGCCTTTTTAATCTTCCAGGCTCTGAAATGGAGGGTGGGAAGAAAAAAAAACAAAGGAAAAAAAGAATTAAAGAATCTTCAGTGCACAGAGCACAATAGAGCACCAGCTGCAGGAATCCAGCTCTAATGATGAAAGAGTTGGTAGAGGTCCCTCTCTTCTGGGTGTTCCCCCATTTTCACACCCCCTGAAAGATCCACTTTTCTTCCCTAGTATCAGCTTCTGATATCCCCTTCTTCTCTGTTACCATCTTCTCAACTAGATGCTTGCTGTGTCTGATAATCTCTGGAGAAGACATCAGCCAAAATACATAAATACATAAAATTCAACAAAACATTAATTATGCAGAAGGTATAAAAGAATACAAAACTAAGTGATGCAGGTGTACAATAACGTTGCTCTCCAGAGCCTGTGATCAGCAGTGTTCAGCACAGAAAGCCACAAACAGATGACATTTTAAAGCATATGGGGGGTATGCAGGGCTGCAAGCAATGGTTTGTAGCTTCTATATGAGTAATTTGTGCATCCCTCCAATCCCAAATAAGATTGTGAACAGCAGCAACAATAATAAGCCATAAAAGCTAAGCTCTAAAGAAAGCCCTGTTCAGGTAGACCCAAGTGCTTGCCAGCAAACGGGGCTCTAAGTGACGGGCAGGTGGCTTTGTGTGCTCACACATTCTTGTGAGATAAAAGCAAAACGAAGAGAGTAGGAAAAGTTTCCAAATCCCAGGTGTCTGTGCAGGGCATCATGAACACAAGAGGGATTTTAGGATAGAAAGAAGATGGAGGTACAGGGGAAACATGTCAGGCTGGGAGAAGATGATCATTAAGTTGTCCCTTGGTATCAGGATTCTGGTGCTCCAGCATGGAGAAAGCAAAGGCATAATTTGCTGCTTTGGGGAAGAACAAACACTGGCTAGAAAGAAGTATGAGAAAAAAGACTCTGTTAGATGCTGATGATGAGAAGTAAAAACATTTGAACAACAGACAACTTCACAGTCAGATGTCATAAGACAGGCAGGCTGGTTGTTCTTACTTTATATAAAGGGTATTTGGTTGGTTATATTTTTGTTCAGATTATCCCCAGGACAAGAATAAAAGTAAAAATGAGAGCCTGTTTCATTGCTGGGCTTTCTGATTCTCTCGTGAAGCCTCCAACCATTACACTACAACCTACTTTCACAGTACTGGGTAACAAGCTGGGTGATAAAAACATCAGATGAAATTCAGTATCAATAAAAGCAAAGCAATGCATAAAGGGAAAAACAATTCTAACAATGCATACACAATGTGGGCTGTAAATTAACTGGTGCCACACAGAAAGTTGGCTGAGGAATCTCCATGGGATGCCCTCTACAACTACTGGCTCTCTGCTCATGCCAGTTAAAGGCACAGGGAAAATTCTGAGATTAGGGAATTAGGGAAAAAATAGACAAAGAGAAAAATCACAGAATAATTTATATAGTAAAAGACCTGTAAGATCATGGAGCCTAGCCATTAACTCAGCACTGCCAAGCTACCACTAAACCATGTCCTTAAGAATCACATCCACACACTTACTGAACACTTCCAGGCATGGTGATTCCACCATTCCCTTGGCAGCCTATTCCAATGCTTGATCCCTCTTTCAGTGAAGAAATTTTTCTTAATATCCAATCTAAACTTCCCCTGGTGTCACTTGAGGTCATTTGCTCCTGTCTTGTCACTCGGGAGAAGAGACTGACCCCCACCAGGCTACACCCTCCTTTCAGGGAGCTGTAGAAAGTGATAAGGTCCCCTCAAGCTTCCTTTTCTCCAGGCTAAATGTAATATGGGATGATGTTTTATAAGGTCACATGCATTTCTGTCTTAATGCTGCATATATTTTGAGTCTACCCATATCTAAAATACAGAGCAGAATTAACAAAGACAGAGGAAAAGGCTGAAAATATTATCAGGAATATGGAATGACTTGCAGAATAGATAAAGTAGGATGGAGATTTTCAGCTTGGAATAGAAAATAAACAAAACCAAAGAGTAGAAGGAATTTATCCTGCTGTATAACCCACAAAGTAGGAGTCATCTAATGAAATTACCAAACTGAGAGGTTAAAGAAGAAAAAACAGGAAGGCTTATTCACTCATTGCATGACTTTAAATTTCGAAACTTTTTCTTGTGGCAATCACAAGTACATGCTGGGTTCAAAAAGAATCCAGCAAATTGCTAGAGGACAAATGCTTCAAGGCTCACTTAGCAGGATGATTCAAAAGACTGTCCTGAAGATAGGATTCTGTAATGAAAAAGTGCACTCTGTATTTTAAAATGAATAAAATTAGATTTTACAGCAGTAAAATCAAACTACAGTAAATAGTTGGCAACCTAGAAACTAGTTCCTAGTCATGGGACTAACATAAACTCTCATTACCTCCACAAAGCTGTTCATACCCCCCTTCTTTCTCTCTTCTCCTTGGCAAATGCTTCCACCACATTGACTTAATGTAAGTCACTAAGTCGTAAGAGTAAACCAAAACCCCAAGCAAAAGATGGAGCTGGTTTTGTTCTGGGTTGATAAATTAAACTGTAGAATCACAGAATGGTTTGGGTTGGAAGGCACCTTAAAGATCATCCAGTCCCAGCCCTCTCTGCCATGTGCAGAGACACCTCCCACTAGACCAGGTTGCTCAGAGCCCCATCCAGCCTGGCCTTGAACACTTCCAGGGATGGAGCATCCACAGCTTCCCTGGGTAACCTGTGCCAGCGTTTCACTATTGTCACAGAAAATACCTAATCTAAATCTGCCCTCTCTTATCTTAAACCATTATCCCTTGCCCTATCACTACATGCCCTCGTCAAAAAGGCATAAATCATCAGAAATATTTTAAAGGAGTCAAAGGACAGAAGCTGGGGAGGGAGGACATTAGGATGAAAGGAGAGGGGGAGATCAGGACCCCTCTCCTTCCATGCTAATGGGCCCTGAAGTTGGCTCTGATGTGAAACTGCAGCCTAAGAGTCACCTGTGATGATGATAACAAAAGAAAAAAGCTGGTCACATAAAAATGCAATTATCTGTTCTTTCAGTTTTCTGGCTTTCCATTTGGGATTTTTTCCCCTTGTTTTTTCAGCTCTAGTTTGTGATAACAGTTGCTGTTACAATAGAATGTTGATATATTAAATGAGAATTCCTCTGTCAGCAGGACACTGAACCTGAGGGTGAGATACATGGGAATTTGTGGGATTGCTCTGTCAATGCAAGATCTCCTGAGATTTCTTTGGATTTAATCCCATCCTACAAATCCTGCAATTCTGTATCACTTTGATGTGACTTTGTGGGATTCTCATTACTTGTATTCACTTCGGTTTCCAGGAAGCTTGAGATTTCATCATCTGCTAACATATGCTGAAATGCATGTGTCAGTTCTATAATAAATTTCCAATATCAAAAAATATCTATAAAACACACAAATACGAAATTAGTTTGTAACACAATCTCCAGTTCTCTGTTTATTAGGGAAAGGCAAAGTTGGTAGTGCTGTCAATTATGGGAAGAGTGAGGCAGCTTTAATAATAAAACAGCATTCACAGTTTCTTATAACTATACTAAGCAAATTGTTTGGCCTGAAAATTTCCATGCCAGCTGTCTGCCTCAGGCTGAAATTTTTCAGAAAATTTCAGTCAAAACAGTTCAGCAGATTCTGAGAACAAGGCTAAGGAAAAATATGTTGTTTTGCTCACGTTAAAAAAAAAAAAAAAAAAAAAAAAAGAAAAAAAAAGCAAAAAAAAAAAAGCCTTTAGCTTCTTTCTAAAACCTCCTCTGGGATTTTTAGGACTGAAGAGAAAGGACTTAGAATTTGCCTGGGAGAGAACTGTTTTTCTTCTAATGAATTTTGTGCATATCTCAGTGAATTAAGCCAAGTTTAGACATCTCTGATAAAAACACTCTTCCTACATGCTCCTGGGTGCATTTATACATATTTGCCAGCTTCCATCACTTACATTTCTACCTGTGTATGACTAAACAAGATGTTTTATGCTATGGGAAGTGCCAGGTCTGCATCCAAGTGTCAGAACTGCAATCAGAGATGCTCTCTGGTTCTTGGCACAATCTCAAGCTGGTAGGAGCTGAATGAAGTTGGGATGAGAGACTTGGAGCAGGGGTTAGAGGGGTGAAAATGAGATAGTAGAAAGGAGCTGGATGAGGCAGAGCACGAAGCAAGGACCAGACTGAGTGGGATGGACTAAGGGACCTGTTTAGAGAAGCAGAGTTCTCTGTTAGACTAAGCCATTGACACACACAGAGACACCAAAATGAGGCAATGTCACAAAGCTACTAGCACTTGGACGACTCAATAAAACCAAAAGAAATCAACATAACCTAGACTAACAGACCAATAATATGATTTAAAAGTATATATTAGAGACACATAATTTAAGTTAAAAACACAATGAAAGTTGCCTTAATCAAGTGTCTGAATAATGAAACAGTCATTATTCACAAGACAGCGTTTTACCCAACTCAGCCTGGAGATGAAGCAATGAGAATGAGGAGTAGAAGAGGAGGTTTAAACTCCTTGTCTTACCCGTTGCAGAGCTGAGAGGTTTGTAGTGACTAAGCAGAGGACTGTGGAATGAGGATAAATGTGTTTCAAATTAAGGTAGCCAAATGATGCCCCAAGACTCTGGGCAATGTTGGGCAAATCCCTTCAACCCAGCATTTCATAATTGTGTTAGAATGTGTTGCAGCCTATGAATGATCAACTTGACAGCTCAGAGTCTGATCTGCTGAAGTGTCAAGCATGCACAGCAGCAATTAAAGGCTGCATGAACTTTGCTTTGTTTTAGCACCACCGTAAGGAAACACCGTAAGGAATCCGTGATCACAGCTCTGTCTGCAGGAGCACACTGGACAGTTGGCTCTTGAGATGGTTCTCTGCTTTCTAGAACAAAAATTTGTGACAAAAAAGCTGATCACACCTTAAACCCAGCTGCACAAAGGGTAATTTTCTAGAAATAGAAGCAGTTGTTTGTTCCAGACTGACAGGATCTGTGCTGCCCACAGTTCAACCACCTAATGCTCTTTGTATCAACAGGCAGAAAGCAAATTCCAGTGTCTCTCATACTCTGTCAGTTTTTCTAACCACTTCTGGCAGTCACTTCTAAAAGCTTTTTGGCTAACCATAGTCTCCCTTTCTATTCTTCTTTATGTTAGAGGTAAGGATGGAATGGTTTTCAGCATCCAAAGACACAGAGACAGTTGAAAAGGAATTAGCAGAATATTGAAAGCCTTCAATTATAAAATTTGGGGGTTCAGTTCATTTGTAAGACTGGCCCATTTAAGTTCAGGTGACCCAGTGGAAGAGATGGTTTATGAATTGCAGGTCTCCAGGCATTTTCTGTTATGTGAACAGACAATACTTGACGATGCTCCTGCCCAGGAAATGAATCCTGGCTTGTCTTATACTCCACACAACATGATATCATAGAATCATAGAATATCCTGAGTTGGAAGGGATCCATAAGGATCATTGGGTCTAACTCCTGATATAGAAGACCAAGATTGATTTTATGAATAGACCCAATATTCCCCAGAAGGAACAGGCCCAGACTGGATTTTTAAAAGCATTTTTAAGATTTACAGTACACATATTGGAGTGTGAGGGGGTTACAACAAAGTCTATGAGCCCTTACTGCATATATGATGCAGGGTTGGACTAAAATAGACAAATGGGATTTGATCTTCAGTTTCTAAATTTTGATTGTATAACTAATCAATCTCCAGAATACTTTGAAGGCTCAGTGTGTACAAACACATGTGCAGGCAAGTGATACAGCTTCTACTCAGTGTTTAAAGAGAAAACTGCACTGAATAATCACCTAAAACCTAAATCAATGGGCAGAGAGACATTTCCTGCTTTCATATTTGCTGTTGCTGCCGGGCTAGCACATCTGCCGCCGGTGCCTTAGCGGCGATTACGGCAGTGGAGCAGCATTCTGAACTGCAGTGCTTATCCTAGACCATAGCAAATGCTACTTCCCTAAAACAGGTGGAGATACCTGTGAAATCTCACTGAGCCATCCCCATTCAAATGAATTGATAAATGCAGTTCAGTGAGCTCCTCCACCTAAATCGACCATCGGCAATTCTTCTCTCCTTCCGTCTTCCTCGCACTTAAAAAAAGAACAAGGATTGTGTCACATCCTAGAAAGCAACTCTTACTTGGAAAAGGAAACTTATCTGTCAGCCCTAATTTGTTTTGTAATGCACTTTCCTTCCTCTTGCTGCCAACACAGTGAAAGAACAGAGAAATCTGTGCCTGCTTTCATGGACATCTTCACATTCAAAAGATCACCTCTGCTGATACCCAGCAGGACAACATTTGATGAAGTTTGAATCCCCCTACAGCACAAACAGCTTAATTCCAAGCAATTTGGTATAAAGGCAAAAAGATTTTTGTGACTAAGGCTCAAACTTTCCAAAATTTGAACTTTGTGTAAGAAGTGTTTGTCACTGCACACAGACAAGAAAAAGTGCCCTCCTAGTCACATTTCAACTCTTCCTCTACACATGCTCCAGGGAGAGTAGAACATCTGGCAAAAAAAAAAAAAAAATATATATATATATATTTCTAACAATATCATTTACCTATCAGGTGAACCAAGGGTGAAACAGCACAGAAGAATGAAAATTGTACATTTATTCCTGACTACTATAAGTCCTATAGGCACGCTACTGCACCACTCCCCACGTTATGCTGACATAATTAAGATATGAATGTATCTGTGATTATTTTTCCTTTTAATCTAGAGAAAAGAGGAAATACACATATATACTTAATGCTTAAAAAAATGTTACAATATAGGATTTTTTTCTTCAAAACATGTCAAACAATTATTTTATGAATACCCAGTTCACTGGCAAGTGGAGCAAGTTACTCTGTCAAAATACCCAGCAACGCCAATTCAAAGCAGAAACAGAGTATTTTAGCTTTTAGTTACAATAAGCTATGCTGATAGACCTTGTAACAGGGCAGGTAACAGCCAGTCTTTAAATTTGAATTGACATTGATTTACAGAATTTCATTTCTTTGAATCAAATCTGAGAGAGAGCGAGTTTCAAGCTACTTCATCTCTTGAAATTACAACTACATATTTCTTAAACACTGAAGAGTTCGCTTTAAAAGGAGAAAAAAAAAATCTCAACTGCCTACAGAGGTAAGGTAAAAGGGAAAAGTGATATTAAAGATATCAAACTAGCAAGTTTTTGTTTATTCATCTTTTTTTAAATTCTACTTTTCTCCTCCATAAATTTTTAAAACCATCTTGATTTGAAATCCTAATAATAAATATGCCACGCAACATTCCTCCTGTCAAATCTCTCTCTTTGTGGTATTACTGCAATATTTGTAACTTTTGATCTGGAAACATCAAGTTACATAAGATCATAGTTCTGCTTCTTGCAAAGATGTGATTCTGTCAGAAAATGAGCCATTGAAGCAGGAACTCAACAGAACTGGAAATTACTTTCCCAGGGAAAAGGTAGTTCTGCTTAAGCATCTCAGCTATTTTAAAGTGCAAGAACTCAATGTTTTATTCTCCTGAGCAGAGAAATGGCAAACTACCAGGTTAAAAATAATCAGAGTAGGCTCTTAATTGGAACAGTGTACACGTTGTAGACAGAATGAAATAACATTTCGTTATTATGCACTCCAGGAAACCAATAAAATAAAATAAAATAAAAAATTCACTTTGTAAAACAAAAATAACATTTTCCCTTGCCAGCATACTATCTGCTCATCAAAACAAAAGGAAAGCATCTATTTTAAATGAGTCAAGGAAAACAATTAAGCTACACAGACTTAAAATTGCAGAGTCTTCTCAGCCCAAATCTCACTCCTTCCCCAGACCCACTGAAATTATAGATGTCTCTCTTTTTCCATCCTTGTAGTAAAATTAATTTGGAGGAGGGGGGACTATCTCCCCCCGCCACCAACTACAACCGGATGAGCAGCTTTACCCTAATCTCTCCATAATTTTTCCCTATCCTTTAAAATTATAGAAGGCAAATTCTCCCCAGAAAAGCCTTTCTAAACCAGGACCCCTTGCTAATAAGAAAAGGAAGCTGCGAAGTTAACTTCTGCATCTCCTTTTGCCTTTTACACCTTTCCTTGCCAAAGAACAGCCCAAGAACCTTTTTCCATATTAACGACCCTCTTTCTTCACCAAAACATGACATTTCTTCTCCAGGTCACACACATAAATAACAGACAAATTGAAAATCTCCCCTTGTGAAGATGTGTACACGTTCACGCACGTATGGGCAGGAAAGGAGGGTGAGGCACAGAGGCAGAGTCCCTCTAAAGATACAGTGCATCTCAGTGCAGTGGCAGTAATTCCCACTCTTGGGGATTCTTTTTTTGAGGGGGGAAAAAGTGAAACAGGTTGTCTGCAAAGGCAGCCCCCCTCCTCCCCTGCCCCAGCTGTGTGTGCAGACCCCCTTCCCAGCCTGGTGGGTGCCGAGCAGTGGTCCCGCTCCCGAGGGAAGAGCAGCACAGGTTGGGTTACCTTTGCAGGTGCCTGGGAAATGCCCGGCCACACGCCGTGACCTCCCCGTCCCCTCCCTGAAAACCAGCACACAGCCTCATTTTCCTTGGCCATGCACCGGCTCGGGGATTGCATTCTCGAGGGATCATGGCAGCAAACAATCCTCCCGGCCACAAACCAGCCCAGCCCAGCAAGGACTGATCCAGTAGCGTGGCAGAGTCTGGGAGCTGGGAATTTTACAAGGAAGGGCAGCTCGCGATGGCCACAGGCGAGCAGATTCCTACAGCCTTGGAACACAGGCAGAGCAGAGCGAGCTGCTCTCAAGTCTTGCCTCGCTGCAAAACAGTGCGAGAGACGCGTCTTTATGCTCCCCCCACCCCGCTAAATATATATATATATAAATATATATATATATACACACACACACATACGCACACATACTCCTTGTTTTTTCCACCCAAGCCTATAAAAGTGCTACAGGCAGAGGCACTAAGTGGGAGGCGCCTGGCTCTGAAGAGGCCAATGAAATAAATTAAGCACAAATGAGTGGCTCAGCCCCAGGCTCCCGCAGCTGCCAGGGGAGAGGTTGGGGTTCCCGATGGCCAATGCCCAGCTCCTGCCGGAGCCGCGGTGCGGGTGGCATACACGCACTGCTGCCGGGGTATAGGTGAATATATGCTCAGCCTTGGGTGTTGCAGGCACATATGGTGCACACGTTGGGAGCAGAGCACTTTCCATAGGAGGGGAGGGGCTATCCTTACTAGTAGGCAATTTTATTAGGGTCAGCGAAGCCGAAAGAAATGAGATTGGGATAGGCTGGGAGCTGCCAAGTTCCCCTGCCCAACTCCGGCTCCCCAGAGCAGGGAGCAGCACACTAACAACTTGCCAGGCTACAGCAGAAGTTTACCTATAAAAAGCACACAGACAACTTCCAACTTCAAACATTTGCTCTCATTTTATCATTTGATGGCCCTCCCTTCGCTTGGGACTTTTCTCAGGGGAAAAAAAAAATGGAAAAGATGCCGTTGTAAATTCAAGGTGAGGCTTCACTGCAAAAAGTTACGGAGGAAGACAGGGTTGAGGCGGAGACACTAATTTTTAGTTCGATTCAGGAGTTTGCTGGTTTGCCTTGTTTATTTATTGTTTTTAAATCCTACGAAATTGAACTTTCCAGGAAAAACCATGAGCAAATGTATTCAAGATGTAGAAAGGTCTTGCCTGTCTATTCAATAAGCATTTAGTAATTTCTGTTTTGGCTGTATGAAAAATGTATTTCAGACTGTGTATCCTATAAAACAAGGCAGTGGCATAAATACGGTTTAATACTTTTTTTGGTTGGTTTTTTGGGGTTTGTTTTTTGGATTTTTTTTCTGTTTTGGTTTGCTTTTGGGTTTTTTGTTTTGTTTTGTTTTTTGTTTTTTTTTTTCCCCAAATCATGTGCTTACATGGTTGTAACCACTGTGAATTTCTAAGTGTGGTCATGCTAAGAAAGTAAATAAATACTGCCTTGTGGATACTTTTAGAGTTTGGAGTGGCTAATTATTATTTTTAAAAGATTTAGAATTTTCTTAACTACCACTTCTTTTGAAGTAAAACATCCCAGATATTTTACACTATATTTTCAATCAAAACAAATTCCAGGAAATAAATGCCCTTTGGTAGCAGCCTGGTTTCAGGTTCAACAGCCCAGATTTGTATTTGAGAATTCAAATTGCTGAGAATACGAGCAGGAGTCTGAACCACTGCATTTCTTCCAGGCACTCCAGCATCTTTTCTCCAACACCATACTATTTGGGTGATCTTTTAATCCTGGCAGGGCATGGCTGGAAGCAGGGCTTTAACATTTAATGCCTAAGAAACAGACTTGTCACTCAACTTGCAGTCAAGCGCATTTCTTTTTTTTTTTTTTTTGCTTTTTGTCGGAGGCAAACCCACCTTTCCTTGGAAAATGCGAGACCCCATCCTCACCCCCGACTCTAGCACGGATCCAAATGTAAACATACGCACACACACACACACACTCCCACCACGCACCACCCTGCAGCAGGACAAGAGTATGGGGGGTTCAGACAGAGCCAAAGGAGCCTTGTGAGCTGAGAAATACCAAGGCACTTCTTTCTTATTCTGTTTTTTTTCTGCCTCCTCTCCTCCCTGCTTTTACTATTACATAAATAACACCGATTGATCTTAAAGCTGCATCCTTGCTCCAGTGCCTCCCAATCTGCACTGCTGCCTTCCCCCAGCACAGCCGCACCGCTCGGGATGCAGAGGGAAGGGTCGGGGAGGGGGAAGGCTGGATGGGAGAATCCACTCCAAACATACCCTGAAGCAAGGTTTTGGCAGTCTGGGGGTGTCTGATCCTCCCCGCCCCAGCCTGGAGCTTCCCGCAGCATCTTTGCGTCCCTCCGAATTGCTGCAAACTGTGCGAGGGGAGGGCAGGGAGCTGGGCAGGAGGGAAGGATGGATGCTGGGGAGGGAAAGCCAGGAATTCAGGGAGCTTCGCCCCAGCCTGTGTGCTTGGCTGTTTGGTGGGAAGGGGGAAGGGAAAATTCAAGAGAGTCTATGGCATAAATACACTTTTCAGAGGAAAAAGAGAAGCTTACCATGTCTGCAGCTTCCCCCCACCGAAATGCCACTTCTCTGTCCAGCGATCCCAAAGTGGAAACTACGGGCAGGCACCGGAGCTCATCTCCGCAGGCAGCTCAGAGATTCACCGCTGCCACCCCCAAAAATCAAAATCAAAATAAATGAAAAAAAAAAAAAAAAAAAAAAAAAAAAAAAAAAAAAAAAAAAAGAACAACGACTGGTCCAGCTTCTTTCCTGACAGGAATCGTCCTGGTAGGACTGCCCAAAATAAGCAGCTGCAATCCAAAGGCTTTATTTAAAGCTTCCCCCCTCCTCCTCCCTCTCTCCGTGCCTCGCTCGCTCTCTCCCTCTCGCTGTTACACACAGAGAGAAAGAGAGACACACACAGGTTACATGAATGGGAGGCAGGAGCCGGCGCTCCCGGCTGGAATGACAGGCGCACATGCGGCTGGCGGCTGCCCACCCCAGCGGCGTGGGAACAGCTCGGACACGGCCTGAGGATGCGTGGAGAGGGGCACGGGTGGGAACAGGCATGGGCACGGCAGAGACATGGGGCCGGGGAGGACGCAGACACGGGCACGGCATGGACGTGGGACTGAGGAAAATATGGACGTGGGCACGGTCAGGATCATAGAATAGACATGGGCCAGGGATGCACATAGACACGGGCATGGCATGGGCATGGGGAGGACACAGACTTTGGCATGAGATGGGAATAGGCACTGGCATGGGCATGATGCATGGATCAGGGGAGGACACAGACATAGGCATGGCATGGGAATTGGGAGAAGAGCATGGGCCTGAAGGGGATTTGGGCATGGAGAGGGGATGGACAGGGCTATGGGGAGAGGGTGGACCTGACGTGGGCATGGACAGATATATGAGATGGATCAAGTGTGTGGACATTAGAATGAGAAGGTAATAGGGACAGGAGAGGATGTGCTTGGGTATGATAGGAATGGATTGGTCTAGAGCATGGAAAAGGCATGGGGATGGGTTGGAATAGCATTGGCTTTAGCATGAGAATGGAATGGGGATCAGGATGGAGGCAAGAAGAAAGTGGAGATCTGCCTCAGGTGGTGCCTTCATGTCCTCACTGTGGTGAACTTTCCTCTCTTCTTGGGGTCAGGTGGGCTCTAGTTTCAGCACACATCTGGAGGAGCAGGAAACCTCTGTTTCCCCCATGCCTCTAGTTAGGCAGCTTGCATAATGTCTTGCTTTTGGGGTCAGGGAGCATCATCCACAATGGTGTCAGGAGATGACATCACTATCATTATCAGTTACTATTACAATTTTTTAAACTTTTTTTTACAGAATTGTGTTGTTTGATAATTAAAGTGAAAATCTCAGAAAGAAAGCCTGCAAGATTTAAGGTTAGTTCTTGAGGAGGAAGGTCAATGCTACCAGTTTCTGCCTTTTATTTGTTTGGGGGTCGGGGGGATTGTTTTGGTTTTATCTGTTTTTAAATTTTTTTTACAGTAGTGACAAGAAATTAGGGCTATTTAATGCTGCTATTCAAAATGCTCTGAAGAAAGAAAGGGTTATGGTGTTGCTAACTGTCAGGCCCTGCTACTGCTTCACTGCCTGACCTTGGGCATGTCCTCAATAACTTATCCCTGACAGGATATACCACCCATTGCCATTTACACTCAGCCTATCATTTTCTCATTCACCAAATAATCACATTTTTCTCTTTTGAGTCCCTCCTCAAAATTTACTCTTACAAAACTTTTCAGCAACAGTCTCTACAGGGCTTGTGTTGACATCACAAGTCTTGGAGTCACACTGGATTCAGCCCTAAAACCACATTGTAAGAGAAGTGCTGAACATAATGGGCTGCAGTACTTTATTCAGCACTTTGAGCTACATGGGAATCATCCTCTTCATGGCATACCTTTAAGTCAGCCAGGTGTGAGTCCGCTGTGGTCTACCTTTTTCTCATGTCCTAAAATTTCTAGCTTTTGTGAGAAGCAAGAGGTCAGACATGTGTTTTATTCCAAATCCAGAAAACACAGTAAAAAGGCACACAGCAAATCAGAACATCATCCTAAAAGAGCAGAGTCCTCGACATAAAGATCTGCTTTGCAAAACAGCTGCTGCTGTTCACTGTTTTTGTTCAGACATTCATATTAAAAATGAAATATATTTGCATTGGCCTTATTACCTCTGGAATATATTCCACATCAGGAAACTAGACTCTAGACAAAGGTAATTTAGGTCTCCGGAAGGAAAAAGTTTAACTGAGAAATATATATATTGTTAGGAATAGACCTCATCTAAATTCAATGGTAATTGTATAAGCCTTTCAAAAATCATACAGTATGCAAGCTTCCAAAATTTCGGAACAAGAAACATTTCCATTTAAATGCCAAGAAGCAATTTTTCCTCTCTTGTTCAATACTAAATCAGTCACATGAGCAGTTTGCATTTGATTTTAGAAAGGAAATGGAACATCTTCTCTTCCAATTACATATAACTTTTTCTTTTTCTTGTTCTTAGTGCTCTTACAGTTTGTGTTACTTTCCTGCAGTTTTGAAACACTCAGTTGATGCACCCATTCACCCCAGATTTTTTTAACTCAAGTGACATTATTAAGAGAAAATCAGTAAACCCAAGTGGGGTTTATTTGAATGCTGTTTATTTGTATTCTGGCAGATAAATTCAAGTTTAACAGGTCAGCACTGCTTGTGTAATTGGCCTTTCTCTGTTAACAGAGCTAGACAATAATCTCCTGGAAGAAAAAAGAACAATAGTAATTTAATGGGAAAAAGCGACTTTGCTTAGGAAAATCCCACTCCTGCTTCAATTCACAGTGAATTGCTGTGGTCACAGAGGTGCGCTGCATACCAATTTGGAGAATATTTTCTGAAGATATACATTCAAAGTATCAGTGTTCATCAGCCTGCCACATTGTGCCTGTGTCCTGCACCCCAGCAACTTTGCACTTTGCTCCTTGAGAACAGTGACCATTGAGTCCAGTTCTCCTCCACGTGGTGTTTGTGAAGAGTTTGTAAAGAAGCCAAATCTGTGGGACAAGAAGGTGAATGACAAGACTGATGCACGAGCCTGTTGGACCTTGTGTGCCAGAGAGCAAGGACAGCAAGTCCTGGAGCTGCCACTGCAATTAGCACTTAGTGCTCTGAATGCCTGCTTGTGTTTCCATGTTGACATTTGCTCCAACAAAACAATGAAAACACCTTTTGTAAAGTCCCCATTCATCAAGCAAAAAAGTAGCAACCTCTGGTGGTCAAAGGCTTCTTGCTGGCCAAGTTCAGCAGCAATTGGTTTGGTGAGCCCTTTGCCTTGGTGGAGACATCTCCTAAGGGGCTGCACTGCTTGACAGCCACTACCAAAGATTTTAATTTTTTTTCTACGTCCAGGAGAATAATCCAGAGGGAAAACCCATATATTTTAATCAATGGAAGCGAAACCATTTGCCTTTCAAAGACTATAAAATACACACCCCAGGGTTCAATGCTCTTTTCTACTCCTCCAGAACATTCTTAAGGGGAAATCACTCTTTTCTTGATGAATGTGCAATTCAAATGTGGAAATATGCCATTCTTCATGCTTTCTCCATAGGGTGCAAAATGATTTCTGTAATTAAACCCTTTTTGCCAACATTTCCTGATGAGAATATATTTTTTGCTTTTTTTTTCTTTCTTTCTTTCTTTTTTTTTTTAAACACAAGAGGAACAGCCATGTACAAAAGGGTTTTCAAAACCAGGTCTGGAGTGTTTGACCTTTAATCCTCTATTTGAATAAACTATTTTGTTTAAAAGGTGCATGAGGATGAGGATGAGGAACATGAGTAAAGGCTGCAGCTTAAGTTTCCAATCAGGCACCGCTGAAAGAAATGGCTGCAGGAGAAACAAAGGTATGGGTACCACTGCTAATATTAGTGTAGCTATTAGGGAATATGTTAGCACTGGGAACACACAGTCTTCAAGACACTTTAGCAGCCCCAAGTGTGTAACCAGGTCCGTGTGGGGATCATGCTGAAATGTGTGCTACAGTGCTGCACTGGTTCCCATGGTAGCTAGATCAAAGAAATCCAGCTTCTCTGATACATATCCAACTGTGAGGGGCAGTGTAGACAAAATTGGAGTCAATTAAGAAAAGCACCTGTGTGAGCTTTTGTAGGACTTGGACCTGAAGTCCACAACACATTGCTTGCCACCACAGCTTGGGCCATGTAATATACAGGGATCAGGAAACTGGACAGAGATTTTAGCCTTCTTCGCAGCTAGGAGGTGAAACCCCATCCCTGTGTGATAGATGGCAGGGCTGAACCAGAGATGGATACAGAGCTGAATCCTGAAGTTCCCACTTTGAGTTATGTCTCTCTGACAAAGCTCTTGAACAATGTGGTGGAGCAGAAATCACTGGTGGTCTTTTTCAAAAGCAGGATTTCCCTCCTCTTTCTTCTCACTCCATGAATTCCTGCAACTCAGATCTGTCTGCACTGACTAGAGAGATGTCTCCACTACTAGTACCATGAGATTATGTCCAGATTGGGGATGGAGAAATGTTATCATGTAGTGAATTATAGAATTATTAAGATTGGAAAAGACCAACTGCTGGCGCAGCACTGTCCAGTCCTTCAGTAAACCATGTCCTCAAGTGCCACATCCACAAGTCTTTTGAACACTTTTGAGGATGGTGATTTCTCCACTTCCCTGGGCAGCCTGTTTCCATATCTGATCACTTCTCAGTGAAGAAATTTTTCCTAATATCTAGTCTAAACCTCCCTTGGCACAACCTGAGGCCCTTTCCTCTCATCCTGAAGACTCTTTCCTTTTGTAAAGGTCTATCCTTTCATTAGCAGATTTTTAACAGGCTGCTAAAGGCTGGAGAGGGTCATTCTGTACTGACTGTGCCTTTTGTAGCATCTCAGTGGATCTTAAGTCTTGAGAAGAACAGAACTGAGCATCTACCCAACACACTGGGTCTAATACCCTTCCCTTCCTTCCTTGCAAAGCACCAATGTCTGTTGTTATACCTTGAAAACAAGGCATACGATGGAGCTGAGAGTCTGCTCTGACTGCTTACTCAGGAAAAGTTCCCATCAAATGAATTGGCCATTTGCCTGAGTGAATGTTGCAGGATTCGGCCCATATGCTTCTCAGCTCTTATATTTGCATAGTGCAGAATATGCTTACAGTACAGTGCCAATAAAACAAAACTATATACAGTTAAGCACAGAGAAACCAAGAGCACAGTTAATACCATTTACAAACAGCAGCTGAGCT